AAACTCGGTATGGTTATTGTACTTGCCACGTGTAAGCAAAACGTTGAAAATTATTTTTTTATTATTTTTATTAAATTTAAGAAATGCTTGAAATTTCAATATTTCGAAATTGAAGGACGCTAATTTACTCAAAATTGATACACCTCGGCTTACCATCTAGCGGAAGGTTTCGGAAGGGTGAAAAAACATATATTTAATACTTGCGCCGGGTATTTAATGTTCGGCTCCGCCCGAACTTAGACTTTCTTACTTCTTTTCTGGTAAAAAAGTTTGAAATATCAATGACAATTGGAAATTAAATAATAAATTACACACACGTTTTATGAAATAGAAAAATATGAGTGGCATATGATTCGCCTCGGCGAGGGACGAGGGTTGCCACCTGTTTTAAAAATTAAATTCAATTTAATTATACACAAGTTAAATCATATATTAAAATATGTCTATCAATCGAAAGAGTATTAAGAAATATTTAGTTTGAGAATTAAGAATATATTTTGAGGTGTTTGAATAGGGTTGGCACCTGTTAAAATTTAAACTGAAATTTTATAATAAGTTAAATGAGTTATTACAATATGGGTATCAATCGAAATGGTTTTAAAAAGGCCTTATTTTTAAACCACATGTAAAAGGGTTGCCACCTGTCTGAAAGAAAAAATCCAACCTGAATTAATGGAATGTGAGTATTTAAAGTATTTAAATAAATTTCCAATTTGATTGAAATTTGGCTCATCATTGGCCATGTTCTAAAATATAATTTTTATCTTAATATTCCTACTTCATTTGTTCATTTCATTGTGCATACATTGCTGCAGCGAAAGCAAAAACAAGTTCAATATAAAACCTAAGAATTTAAATAAAAAAAATAATAATATAATAATTCTAATACCTTTTTTTCACATAAAAATTCCAACTAGAAAAAAAATCCCTCGTTCAGCTGAGAAACTTTCGCTTTTACGCAAAGTATTCAAAAGTATATATATTTTGTTTTTGGCTTTGAGATATTAATGTCTCTAAGCCGTTGGGATTTTAAAAATAAACCTTTGGTTAGAACTTTAATCTTTAAGATGGGAAATACTCTACTTTTGCATATGTACAGAGAAACTTTAGAAATTTTTTTATTTTTTTATTTTTGTAACAAATTTAAGATATGTAAGTATACTTATTTGCATTTGATATGCACTATAAATCCGCTAATAAAGTTTTTGTGGTGTGTGCGTTTCTTATCTCTGCTTAAATTCCTCTGTGTTTAGTAATGTTTACCATCACATTCCCTAAGTACGGTCGTTTATTGTTGGACCAGACGTTTGGAGATGACATCATCAACAAAACTCAGAAAATACATGAGCCTATGTACATACATATTTATATAGTAAATACATGCATTGTACATTAGGGTGATCCAAAAATGCATGTGAAAAAAGTAAAGTCGGACTTTCTTTCTGCTTTCACCCCCTAGGATTGGGTATTATTATTGATTTTGAAAGGATTGTACACTACTTTTACGAAAAATTACTTTTTTTCTTATATAAAATACATGGAATACTTTGAGTGGCCTCTAAATATTTTTTGATGTCAAAATAAAAAAAAAAACGGGCGTATATTTTTTCGGTATAGACCAATCCTAGGGGGTCAGAGCATTTAAATTCCGATTTACTTTTTTGGACAACCCTATTGTTCATAGATGCCTATTCATTTTGAATTTTTCTTCGTTAAAGTGCTAATTTATCCCAATAATATATTTTTCTTTATTTTTCCTTTCATTTATACAAATATGTACGTGTGTATGTGGGATGCTTGCTTGTTTGGGCGAATAGCATCTGTGTTTTTATTATTTTGCGTAAAAATAAATTCTTGAAAGCTCCACCATTCAAGAAGCTTTCCTTAGAGCCTATACACACACCTCTGTATATATATAAAAATTCACCATATATACGGAATTATTTATATTATGCACATGTATATTTGTGCATACATATGTATGTACTTATATAGACACATAAAAATAAATGAAATATATTTTCAACGCCGCACAGCTAACGACTTCTAATCAACGCCACACAATTCCATAGGCAACAGCAGCTGGTCGCCAACCAATCCGCAGGCACAATCAGTACTTTATTCAGTCAGTCAGTCAGCTGTTTAGTCGGTCGGTTTGCCAGTTGAAGGTTTACTCAAATCACAATCAGTCATTAGTGTGATCTTGAGTAAACAATTCAGTGACTCACCGCGAACGTGATTTTCGTAGAATTCTAAAACGTTCCCAAGCCACGCTGAGGCAGTTGACGACAACAACTCAAGAAAACAAAAAAAAAAAAAAAAAAACGGCACAGCGCGCCAGCTTAGGTGCAGCTTTATAATTTATTATTTTTTATATAAAAAACAATAAGTTATAGTGACGAAACAAAGTTAAAAACCGCTAATCGCACTTAAAAAGCACAATGCTAAAGTTTGCAGTTTATTTTTTTGCTAGAAAACAAAAAAAGCATACCAAAATTACTCAACTTCCTCTTTTTTATTCCCTTCTCTTTCTATCTTTAGCACCGTCGAAGAAATCCCCGAAGCCCAGGAGGCCAGCGCCACCACCACTGCCCAACAGCAACCTGTAACGTCCGCGGCAACGGCAGAGCCCGATCCCAACGTCCCCATCCCGAGTGTGCCACTAGCCGAATTCACCACTCCTCCCGCAACACCACCACCCGATGAGAGCGAAATGGCTGCCGCAAGCAAAGAAGTAAATCCCGAAAATGCTGTCGTCTCTACTTCCAGCAGCAGCGATGGCATCTTCTCGTTGATCTATACGGTTTTCAAGAAGGTCGCCGTCGTTGGTTCTATTTACTTGGTTGGCTATATGGGCTGGAGTGTTGCGTGGCTGATAGCGCCGGTAATCCTTTCCGTGACGCGCGATCAATTCCGCAAAACCACCGAATACAAACGAAACATTGCCAAAGCGTCAGCAATGGCCTCCGAGAAGGATGTCATACTGGCACGCATCGATGAACTGCCAGCGTGGGTGAGTAACAGAGATGTTTGTTTAAAAACCCAACCTTATAAGGCAGCTCTTTCTCTCGATTGGAGGTCTGACAGGGTAAAGTTGTCGTGGAATCTAAACATTGAGAAAGGCAACCGTTTCCTTTTACTGCTGTAGGGGATATATTGGTAGGGGGAGTGTTCTATCGCTCGAAAGTAATTCCTGGTGGAATTCGCTAGAGAAATATACACAAGCTAAGCAGCTACAACGGGCTGCCCTAAGCGGTATTAGTGGGGCACCACGAACCCTTCCTACTTTGGCACTTAAAATCAGTGAGAACATAACACAAAACTATCACTGGACGAACTGCTTTCAGACCAAGTTAAACCGTGTGATTAACAGATTCGAAAACCTTATAAAAGGCTCCTAGTAGCAGCTTCTTTTTCTACATATTGTGCGTTCCTTCAATAGGGAGTGCCAAAGGGCTGTCGAAAACCCTGTAGAGCCCTTAAGTATTTACTGTTTTTAGATTTTACTGCTGGCGTCAAAATGCTCCTTGACTGTTGTATGGGTTCCAACAAGTATGGCGATAGGTATGTATGTAGCCGAACTCATCGAGGAAATTTGGCTAAAGATTGATGTAAAGCGATCCATAGCTGTCACTTGGCTGGACCACTCGTCTCTCAGATTAGTAGTTAGGGTAATCACCGGACACTGCCTGAAGGGCACACACGGAGAAAGGTTATGATACCCCACCAATGATTTTTTTCCCAGTTACAGAAACTATGGAGAGGTGAAGAGCATCGAACATTATCTCTGCCACTGTCCCGCCGTGTGTCTCAGGAATCGCGAGAAGCTTTTTACGTTTACGTTGCGTATAGTAAAACAAAATCAGAGATTACAATTTATGAACAAGCCCACCTCTTCCCTAAGTATATCCTATTTCATCTTCGAGGCAGCTCTATTGCACACATGAACGGAAGAGTCCAATGCGGAACTTGTCCCTCGATTGACCCTTTTCGTCTACGATCCCTCTTCGATAGTTATACTCTCCTGGCCGACTAGCTGGGTACCAACCGTCCCCTACGTGGCTGTTGTAGACCAACTCTCGGTAGTGCATTCATTTAAAAGGCCAAACCTTTTTAATCGTCCAAATCTGCTCAGCACAGGCTGCCGGCAAACATTGTTACGTCGGCGGTAAAACGATTAAGTATTCGGCGCTGCTGCGTCTTAGCCTTTTGATGGTCCTCAACTTCTTCATTTTACCGGCTATTTCGTCGTTGGCATATCTCCGGTTTTAGCTACTCTTTAGCATGTGATGAATATGAGACTCTGGAGAGTGGTTTCTTTCGTCCATGTTGCATACTTCCTCTACATAGTTGCAGACGTCCTTTTATCAAACTGTGCCACCTCTGGCAACACTGATTTCTCGGACTTAAAATACACTCAAAAACTGTTTTTTCGATACGTGTAGCATTCTTTAAATCTCGTCAACGTAGCTAAGTGCAGTCGAAACTGGCTTATGTTGTGGTTCTATTTTTCTTTCAGGTCTATTTCCCCGATGTGGAGCGTTGTGAATGGGTCAACAAGGTAAGCCATCACTCCATCAAAATTTGAAGCAAATTATTCTCTACATCAACCCTCACTTCTTTCCGCAGATCCTCAAACAAGTGTGGCCCAATGCCAATCACTACGCGCGCAAACTCGTCAAAGAGACAATCGAACCGAATGTTGCACTCGCTCTAGCCAACTACAAAATGAATGGCTTCCGTTTCGATCGCATGATACTCGGCACAATACCACCACGCATTGGCGGCGTAAAGATCTACGATAAAAATGTCGATCGTAATGAGATCATTATGGATTTGGATCTATTTTATGCCAGTGATTGTGACATCAACTTCTATTTGGGCAGCATGAAGGGCGGCATTAAGGACTTCCAAATACACGGCTGGGTGAGAGTGGTTATGAAGCCACTCATACGTTCCATGCCGCTGGTGGGCGGTTTGCAGATTTTCTTCTTGAATAATCCGAATATCGATTTCAATTTGGTTGGGGTTATTGATTTTATGGATATGCCGGGTTTGAGTGATTTGCTGCGCAGGATTATTGTGGAGCAAATTGGTGCGGTAATGGTGCTACCAAATAAACTGCCGATCACATTGAGTAATGAGGTGCCAGCGATCAGCTTGAAGATGCCAGAACCGGAGGTAGGGTAGGGGGGTAGAGGCGCCCGTCCGGTGTTGCAGTGATAGTAGAAATGGTAAAAAATTTTTTGTTTCTTCTTTTCTATGCAGGGCATTTTGCGTATACACGTCGTTGAGGCTAAAGATCTCATGAAAAAGGATATCGGTGTTCTGGGTAAGGGCAAATCCGATCCTTATGCGGTGATCAATGTGGGCGCGCAGGAATTTAAAACACAAATTATTGAGAATAATGTGAATCCCAAGTGGGACTACTGGTGCGAGGTAAGTTTTAATTTGGGATGCTGTTAAAGTTTTTGCTTAGTTTTTTTATAAAAAAAAGTTTGTACTAACAATTACAATTTTATAAAAAAAAGGGATTAATAGTAAAGACAGAGAATATATATATAAAAATTTAATTTATACGAACTTTTTACTTTTTTTTTTAATGAACATAATTTTAATGATTTTTTTTTTGGGAGTTTATAATGGTTTTATCTCATTTTTCGAACCTAGAAAACTCACTGGTTCGGATTCAAATACCTTTTTAGCATATAAAATTATAGAAAATAAATATTAAAATTTTTTCAAAAACACTAAAATTTTTCCCAAATATTTTATTTTACTAAACTTCTGTGAAATTAAAATAGAAAAAATATTTTTTCGATATTAGACATGAAAAAGCATTAGTTACAAAAATGTATTTCTGCAATAAAATTTGTTATTTTGTTATCCAAAGCACATCCCAATCCTCAAAATCACTGAAATAGCATATTCTGCAAATTTTTGGATTTTCACGATTTGCATGCCTCACCGCTATTTTTTGAAAAATTTTTTTTGAAATACTACAATTTTTTCGCACGAATTGCTGTTTTGTGTCACTTTTTTGCAAACTCTCGAACTATTCCCTGCAAACTGCTTTATTTACGTACGTACTATTTATTGTCCCATTTTCCTGATACTAATTTGTTTTTTATTTTGTTTTGTTTTTGGTTTTTTACTTTGCATAAAAAAAAAAAACCAAACGAATTACACGAAAAATTCTTCAAAATTTTTCAAAACTTACTACTAAACACAACAAATACGTAAACCTTCACAAAAAAGGCTAAGATATTTGTTGAACTGGGTCAAAGTGTTGACATAACGGTACTCGATATGGACAACAGCAGTGATGATGAGAAATTGGGCAGGTAAGTTTCTTAAGAAAGAATACGAAAAAATCAAATTCAAATAAAATAAAACAAAATATTAAATGAAGTAAAAAACAGATTAAGAAATCAAAGTTAAATAAAATATAAAAAATTAAATGGATTAAAAAAAAATAAATAAGTATAATATAACTAAATTAAGTAAATCAAAAGCTAAATAAAAGTAAAAAACTTAGTTGAAAAGTAGTAAGACAATATAAAACAAAAGAAAATAAAATAAAATAAAATAAAATAAAATAAAATAAAATAAAATAAAATAAAATAAAATAAAATACTAAAAATTAAATAGATTAAAAAAAATGAAATTAAAATTAAATTAAAATATAAAAATTAAATGGATTAAAAAAACAAAACATTAAATCAAATCAATTTTTATAAAAACTAATAAAATAAATTAAAGTTGAATAAATAACACGAGATAAAAATACAAAGACAATAAAAGGAGCTAACTAAATAAAATTAAACAAAATCAAATAGATTTTAAAATTTTAATTTCACAAAAAAATAATAATAATTAAACAATAAAAAATAAATTTAGGAATAAAACACATAACTATATACAAAAAAATATTAAAATAAATAAATAAATTTAATAAAATAAAATAATAATAAATATACGCCGGATATTAAAAATAAAATGACATTAACAATATGTAATAAGAAATTAAAAAATCAATGCAACCACCTAAAACACAAGACAAATAAAAAATAAGAAAAAATAATATAAGATAAGTGAAACTTACATAAAAATTTGCATGAAATAAAACAAAATAAAAACATATTAAATAGCTAAAGACAGTTAAAATGAAAAAAATTAAAGTATGATGTAATATAAAAAATTAAGTTAGGCAAAAAAATAAATAAAGCAAAGTTAAATCAAATGAAAGATACAATTTAAAAATTAAATGGATTAAAAACAGAAACTAAATAAAATAAAAAATTAAATTAAATTAAATTAAAATATTAAATAAAAAAGTTATTAATATCAAATAAAATAATAAAATTAAATTAAATAAAATAAAAATAAATATATACAAAATTGAATGATTATATGAATTATATGAGCATAAAATAAAAAAAAAACATAAAATGGCTAAAACACATTAAAACAACACATTAAAATTAAATAAACTAAAATAAATTTGAAAAAATTAAGTACAGAAAAACAATAAGTTGCATTGAAAAAAAAATAAATTCAAAAATTATAAAATAAAATAAATAACTTTGTAAAAATTAAAACAAAATTACAGCAAAAAAAGTAAAGCTAAATTAAATAAAAAGGGGAGAACAAATGATAAAGCTATAAGAAACAAAAAATAACTGATATAATATAAATAATAAATTATAAATGAATGCTAAATATTAAACGAACTAAAATAAAATAACATTGAAAACATTAAATAAAAAAAAAAGAGAAAAATAAATTTAAAAAACAAAAACTCGAAAAAATATAATAAATAAATATAAAATAAAAATAATAAGTTTATGAAGAATAGTATTAAGATAAAACACAATAATGATAAAAAAAAAATTAAATTAAATATGTAAAATAAAACGATAAAATAAAATTAAATAAAAAACGATATAAAACAAAAAATAATAAATGAAGTACAACAAATAATGAATTTAAGAAGTATATGAAAAACTAAAAAATAATATAAAATAATTAAAATAAAATAAAAAATTAAAACTATGTAATTTGAAATTTAATAAATATCAGTGCAATTACTTAAAACTCATACAAACCTATATATATATATACCTGTACTCAACCTCATAAACATTCTAACAATAGTCACCAAATTTATAACAATTCATGCACATGCCTAAATACACAATAACAATAAGCAAGTAATTATATATAAATATAATCAAACGAATNCCCCCCCCCCCCCCATCTCCTAATTACTCAACAAACACTTGGCGTTTACCGTGTAATTAACGTGAGTAGATGGCAGATTTTGTAGTTGAGGCGCTACCCAGCTGTTCATGTTTGTAATTTTTATTTATTACTGTTGTTTTTGGCCTTGTTTTGAATACTACCACAACAGTTAAAACTATCTTACATTCCAACCTTCAATTACTCCCAACTTGTCTTTGCATGACTGCCAACTTTGTGTTTATTCCGAGGTCAATGAACTTATTGCTCACCTTTTACTGAAATAAATTACTTAACATTACAAATAAACTAACAACAAATCCATATTTAGCCATCAAATTTCCATTTATGAACAACAATTGCTTCTGTAAATTACGTGCACCAAATTTCGTTATTCTTGTAGGCCCCTGCCTTCGCTGATGGCACTTTGGAACTCAAGGCCGTCTTTAATTTATGGGACTCAGATATACCTGGTAGTCCAAATGATGATTTTTTGGGCAGGTTTGACAATTTTATTCGTTGACCTTTGTTGGTTTTTTTTTCTTGTTCGCATTATTCGTGTTAAGTTTGTTGTTGCGTTTTTTTTTTTCAAAGTGTTTCCTATACTAACACGCTGTAAATATATGAGTTTCAAAAGCGCCGTTTGTCTGACTAAATTACTCGTTTTAAGAGCAAATTATTTACAGTTTTATTGGCTTATTTTTAAAGTTATTTGTTATTCTAATATTATGTTTTTTTTTTTAGTTGTAGTTTCATGCCCCTGCATTCAAGGCTTGATAAGTATGAGCAATAAGTAGCTTTGTAAAAATCATAGGTAATACAATGTAGGAATTAAGCTATGATCTAGAAGAAATTTCTTATTCTTCCAATTTTGATGATTTTAATTATCTTAAAGACAATCTAAAAAATAACCACATTAAAATTGTTCAGTTATCGGGTAAACGAATCTCAAAATCTGCTCGATTTTATGCAATCGAACAAAGCTTTTAAGCTGTATTATTTCTGGAATCGCCACTATTTACTTTTAGATTTATATTTATTTTTGTAATCACACAATTTCAACTCCGCTGGGAATGCGAAAAAGGTATCGCTGGATGCTATCAAGGTCCTAAATAGACATTTGTTCAGTAATATGATAGGTTAGGTTCACGTCAATTTTTACGGCGCACTTAAGGCCCCGCCAGATAGAAAATCTTTTCTGCGTCACAGGGATGCTTTTGACTGACACAACGCACAGAACGTGCTACAACAAAATCGTTGCAGAAAACAAAAGGGCTCAATTTGATTGGTCTAAAATCAGCTGCCGTTTGTGATACCGCCCAGATCCCAAAAACCCCTACTCCACATTGAACCAGTTTATGGATTCAGAAAATCTGAGCAGCTGTCGTTTGTCCAACTGCCATTTTATCAGGTCTGTTTGGATTGACTCCTTAGCCATTCCATTTGGTTCGATTTTCGACCTTTGTTGGATTCACTTGCATTACGTCACACAATGTTTGCGGAAATTTCCCACTTATAATCAGGGCAACCGCTCTCCATGTGGCTCAGCAAACGATTTAGGGCTGATACCCACATAATAGGAGACAGGACACCGCCCTGCGGCGTTCCTCTACCAACAAATCTAGTCAGCGAAGTTCCAGCAAGTTCCGCTCGCAGTTCCCTGCATATCAGCATTAGGTTTACGATTGCCCCGGATCGATGCCTAAGTCCGTTAGTGCAGTGGTAATTATTTCAGTGATGGCCCCTTCAAAATAATGTATCACCGAGATTGAAATCAGGAAACAGTCATAGAGGGATAAGTCGTTTGAATATGCTGGATGGGGTAGCAGTTCATAGCCTAAGTTGTGAAATAATCGGCGGCACATATATATATACTATATAGGCACCATTCAAATGACCTTCGAAAATAGCAGCTTAAATTTTTATGAAAAAATAAATAAAAAATTCAAAACTTATATTTTTTAAAGTAATTTGAAATTCAAAGGAATGTTTTTTTTTCATAGAGCGAGAATGTTTACTAGATCCTCAAGTAGAACCATTTTTTCTGCAGGTCATTCCACAGCTTAAACTATTTATAAGCGCAAGGCATACAAAATCTTTCCTGTAGCTCAATGTATAGAATATTTCCATAGAAACAAGATTAAGGGCCGGTTACTCAATGTTTGGTTAACAGTAACTACAGCTAAAACATCGTTATCGACGTTATCGACCCCCGGTTATATGTTATGGGTTCGATTACGTCGATAACGATGTTTAGCCGCACTTAGTTTTAACCAGACATTGAGTAACCGGTCCTAAGTTTTACATGACTGTTATTGATTGCAAATGGTTTATGAGCAGTCCCCTAGAGGTGGAAGATTCAGCCTTATTTACCCTAACCAGGCATTCTTAGCGTTCCACTGCAGTGGTTGAACTGATCCCCCACTTAATGTATCGTTGTTCTGTAATATGTTATTACGCCTTGTTACGAATACTAAGCGACATTACAGGAACCCTCAAATAAATAATGTAGTTGAGAACGTTTAGATAGTTTGTAGATTGACCTAATGATTAGGTGTAAGCTTAACGCCATAATGTCGATACTTTTTTACTCGGTCCTACATACTTATCCATAATCTAAACTAGCACACTTACTGTCCTATTGTAAACATACAGTCCATATAGAGTGACATAGTTAGCATGCCATCCCCCTCCGTCCCATTCTTTTTCTCTTTCTTTGACACACCACAAAATTGCATGAATTTGAATACTACATAGGCACGAACTAAGTTACTAACTTACCCTATGACATGCAGGTACATTAAATAAAAACAAGCACGTTTTAATTTCCGTTCCATTTTGGCTGCTAAAGTTTATTGCAACTATTTGTTGTAGTCTCATTTAGTTATGTAAGTGCACAAATAGCAAAAGTTGTTACAAATTTTGTTATTAAGTGTAGTAAAAAAGTACCTAAATTCAAACATGCGAATATATAATTATATTAACAGTAGAAAATTATGTGTAAAAATTTGTTTAAGTGCAAAAGACGGAATTCGTAAAAATTTCGTTTTTTTCTTGTGTCCGCCATCTCTTTTCTCTCTCTCTCCCACTCTTATACTACGCAACGCACTCACAACTGCGTGAATTTAACGCTACTAATACACCTTGCTGGTATGTTGTGGACATGCCACGCCCACTCCACCACAAACATAAACAGGCTGTGGTTGAGGTGACGCAACATACATTGTTGGTTTTTAGACTCTATGATTGGGATCGCACTGGCGACGATGAATCACTTGGCAGGTTGGCAAATTTTGTGTTTTCGTTCTGACATTTCGTTCATTAATTTAAAAGCTCTTTGAGGACTTCATTTCACGAGTTGTATGTTTAGTTTATCTTTGTTTTTTTGAATGTTGTTTGGTTTATGAGTTACAGACATATTTTTTTTTTTTCAAATGTGAAAAAGAAAAAAAAAATTTAACATATAAATACATTAAAAAATCAGAGATTCTTTGGAACTCCGTAACCCAAAAACATTACATTTCCATTTTTCCAAATTTCTGCTGTAAATTCTACTTTAAACTTTTATTTATTTAGTCATTTTTCTCTGTTGAGTTCGCCTTTCCTTCATCAACTTTCTTGGGGTGTCCACAGTGTAAGCATCTTTTCATTTCAAAAGCTACTTTGGTTTGTACGTTTCGTGAAACACGAGGCGGCGCCCAAGGTATTCGCTTCTCGGGAATGGCCTACAAAGAGAAGAAGACATTTAAAAGTTACAAATTTTGTTTTATTTTATTTTAAAGTTTCGTTTACAATAAACTTTTCAGATCAATGAGGAGCAGAGAGGTCCTTTACCCTGTGCCCATATAATATAAAGAAATTTTAGGTCTGTATGATTGCCTCTGAAATGGACCATTTAGACTCATTCCCTACAAACAAATCTCTGCGCTTGAGTTATAACATTAAGACGCACGCGACACAAATTGAAGGAGAAGCTCGACCAAAAACTTAGAAAAAATGTGGGCAACAAATATGTATCTTATATCTTATTAGATCCCGAACGTTAGACCCGTTTGTCTTAGACCTTCCTGAACGCTGGCCATGCAAACGGTGACTCCGTAAAACAGATTGGGCTGTGCCAAAACTTTGTAGCCAGTTTTGATTGCTCACGTTTTACCTACATAAAGCCGTAATGTCTTTCTTTCCTAGGACGGTGTATTATATTCTGATCGGGTTTTCAGAATCACTAGGTGGTGTAAAGTATCCTACTTCGGATTTTCTTGATCTTCTTGATGCTGAACGCTCTGAAGGAACCGTAGATTTGATTACTCGAATATTCCAGTATTTCTAAGGGAAGCAATTCCCCTCTTCTAGATTGAAAACAAATGTATACATACAAGGATCCCTCAGAGGGGTGAACGGAAAAACAAGACCGCCCTGAAGTGTACTGATGAATGGTGCACTTTCCAGTGTGTAGCTGTCAATCTCAGTAAGACATCCCTAGTCTTGTTTACGCGGAAAAGAAAATTAGAAGGTGTAACCTAAGTCTTCCCGTGGATGTGAAATATCTAGCGGTAACGCTAGAAATGAAGTTGACATGGAAACTCACTTCGATCGGAAGGTAAATCAAGCGCTGAAAGTTTTCGGACAGTGTCGGAGAACCTTTGGTAAGACCTGAGGGCGGAGACCGGTTATGGTATCCTGAATGAGCGTATGTATAGGCATTACTGGGCCATGAGTACAACGTCAGGTCCAGTTATTAATTCTTTGTTGGATTTGCTACCTATGGATTAAGCGACCCAAGAGGAGACAATGAAAACAATGTGTCGACTGCAGTCCTTTGGATTGTGGTCCGACGATCGGAGTTCCGAGCACAGACAGTTATTTAGAACGTTGTGAGAGCAATACCTTTTGCTTTTCACTCCTAATGATAAGCTTACACCTGGGATCCCCTTTGGTAAAAAGTACGTCGTTAGATTTCCTACAAGGGAACAGTGGAGAGATCCTGGTACTCTCTTGGGAAGCGCGGTGAAAACTTTCTACACGGAAGTATTTACAATATTGAAAGTGGCAGACTGTATAATTGGCGAAAGGTGGCGCGGACATAAAATCAGGACCCACAGTGGCATCAAAGTTGCTCTAAACGCGTTGAAAACCACTCGCACCTCTTCAAAGAAAAATGGAGAGTCCAATGGGGCCGGAGTCAATTTTAGGGCCAAGCATAGAGGAAACGATCGGTTACATCAAGGATCTCATAAATAAAACTCTTAGGAGCCATTGATGTTGTATTAATACCTGCAAAACAACCAAGTGTTTCCTGAAAAGACCAAAAAGGGTGGTAGTAGCAAAATTCCTTCTCAGACAAAGAAATAGTGATCTCCAAGCCATGATAGGACTGATTACGGGGCACAATCCATGGGACCGGCATATGGTCACCATAGCCATCGTCGACGATCCACTGTGCAGATTTTATTTGGAGGATGAGGATAGTACAGAACAGAAAAGAGGAAGAGCTGGAAAGTGTCGAATACTATCTCTGTCGCATACTGCCTTAACCGGGTCTCGAATCTTGAACAAACCATTATTTCAGTTTATATTTGGTTGTTGGCACTTTGGACAGGGTAGTATTTAGTAGGATGTCTTTTGGAACTAATTTTCGCCATGCCTTGTCATTTTCCGTTTGCAGATAAGCCGACTTCTATACCAGTGCCATTTTTCGTTGTGGGAGGACATAGTTCCATCAATATCTAGCCGGTTTAGATTCTCTGGACATACATGATCTTCACAGCTTCGTGAGGAGAGCGCGATGGTTCTACCAAATGGTAAATGGCAAATACCGTAACGTGACCTTGTTAAAAACAGATCGTTTACGTTTAGATTCCAAAGTTATAGCGAGAGAGCACATTTCTTACAAAGTAGATGAAGATGACCAGTTTGGGAAAGTATGTAGGTCTCGTACTGAGTAGAATGTTGACATCACTAAGCCCATCTGAAAGGTGTAGTGTAGTTAATAGCCAATGGGACAACGGTCCATTTAACTTTTGTAGCTAAATATTTGGAAAAAAGCTACTAAGGATTTACTCTGTTCTATACGTGTGTGCAGCCTTCTAAATCATCCATCATTTGTAAGTCCAAGGGTTAACTACTAAACACAACCAATAATATTTTGACTGATTAATTTTTTACTCACCACTTGAGTACGTTCCGGTCGACCACTACAAGTAGGACAACGCTGCACCATTCTTGAGTTAGGCGATTTTAAAGCAATTGGTGCACTAAACGCTTGCTCCACTGAAGATTTCGGTCCATAGATGGTTATCAACTTAGGTAGACTAGAGTATGGACGTGTTTCAAATAATTTTTCACGATGTAAGAAACTACGGAACATTCCAGAAAGTAATTAGTTCAGTGAAAATGAATTTGGACTAAGCACTCTTGAAATTAATGCTATACTTAGTAGGTATGTACTTACTCTGGTCTCGGCGCCAGCCACAAATCCGACATACGCTTCGTTTGCATAATGTCGCCCAATTTCTGTAACAGCCGCACATTCTCCACTTCAATGCGTTGCAAACGTTCCTTCTCTATCTGCACTTTCTTGGGTTTGAGTATCACATGCGAGTAAATGGTCGGAGTGCGCATATCAATGGCCGGTTTGGCCGAACGTAGATTGGCACGATGATGTTCGTAACGTTGTTGAGTCCAAGGCAAATTCAAAAGCTTATCGCGGCGTGAAATCATTACGATGTTTACAAGTACTAGTTATATGGATGAAGATGAGCAAAGTGAAGTAAAAGTGAGATGTTGTTGACACAATGATTAACAAGCTACTTCACTGGGAGGCTTATCACTTGTTTGGTGTTTAGTAAATAAACTGTCTGTTAGGTCTGTGGGCGTTAAAGGGCAGGATAATTATTGTTTGTTTGCGCTGTTGCTTTGTTTCCACGGGCAGGTAGCTATTGCTTATGCTATGCGTAGTACGTATTTGTGAAGTGATAAGTGCGAGGGTATGTATGTATGTAAGAATGTTTATGCAGTCATGCCCTTTGATGCTTGGAAACCAGTGTCAAGGACACCAACTGGGTGTTTGTTTTTAGTTGCTGGGGGAAGGTTTTATTTTACTGAATGCCTGTCTATTCTTTTTCAGGTAGGCATGCATATCTACTTGTACATACATACGTACGTAACTTTCTACATACATATACCCATACGACATACATACTAATTGATCCTTCAAATGCCACCCCTTTGCAGCAGTGTAAGCATTCATAGATGCATTTTCCACTCCGTCTTTTTCCGATGCTGCAATTCTCAGCTTCTTTTTCGTCTAATAATTAATATAAATATTAAGTACACTCATCGGCATTTGTTCTTGCTTCGGCAGAACATATACTAAAATTGGAACGATACAGAGAAGATTAGCATGGCCCCTGCGCAAGGATGACACGCAAAATCGTGAAGCGTTCCACATTTTTTTGTGAAAATTCTCGAAGGACAATTTTATTTCGAGCGGTTCTGTATGTAAGATTGGCTATATCTATGTACTTCAATATAATGAAAAAATTCAAAATTGGTATGCAAATATGTATACGAATTTTATTAGGGTGGGCTACAAAACTCGATACTAAAAATCTTCTAGAAAGTCTTAAAAAAAAAGTATAAAATTACCAAACATCGAGGTTCTTGGGGTCACCGTAAATATTATCCGATCGGTAAACAGTTTAAATAGTCATTAAATACATTTCCACATGGCATTTTTTTAGATGGCGCCGGTTTTTGCCATTTCAATGCCTAACGGCTTACGGATTTCGAAACCGAAAAATGTATTTGTTCGCTGCATTCTACTATTCCGCGCGTAACGCGGCGTTGTAATTTGTATCCATTCTGTATTCATGCGTGTATTTTTGGTTACTAGAAATATGTGTAGTATATTTGAAGGTTTTCGGAATATATTCTGGCAACATGGATCTAAATCCTGTAAGAGACACGTTAGACTCCATGATCCCATACCCATTCTATTGAATGTTTTCAGGAAAGTTAACTAATGGCGTTTCTACAATAAATGCCACCTTCTCATTGCCCTCTTCTTAGTATTTGTATGTAGAGCGCAAAGAGAGGGTACAATTTTTCGGAAAGCTCCAAAAACTTAATGAAATTAAAAAAAAATATATATGTATTTTTCTTTTTAAATCAATAACATCTAAAAATTTAAAGATATTTAAATTTAAAAAATATTAAAAAAAAATATTAAATTAGTTTCGAAAATCTAAAGAAAATGAAACAAAATGAAGGTAAAAAAAGAAAAAAATAAATAAATTAAAACAAGGGAAAAAGTTAAATAAGTTCCTAAAATTTAAATTNTCTATATCTATCTCGATTCGTTTTGGCTGTTACAAACAACCGTTATGTGAACAAAATTAATATACCCTTGTGCACAAGTGCGCTCGGGTATAAAAATGTATATAGTGCTTTGCTCACACGATCATTGCCATTGTTGAGACAGCGCGAGCAAAATGATATACAAGTGTTTTCTGTCAAAAGAGCCTTTCACCATGAAAGTTGGTAAGGGAGCTTTTCTTGTAAGTCTTTCGTGCCAGAATAAATAAAATCTTTCAAACTATCTTGCCGGCTGCTTTTCAATTGCCTAACAAAAGACTTTCTACATCTTAGCCCGTATTGCCCTGTAACACTACTACATGGTCGTGTAAGGAAACTAATTCAAGTTCTTAGGCTTTTCTTCGCAAGATTAATAGCCCTTCCGCTGTCGTGTAAGCCCTAATGACCAGTACCGAACCAAAGGGTAGCCCTGGTATGCGTTCCTAGTCGAATCGAGTTTTGCAATTACCTAACAGCATTGACGACGTTTCACAAGACTCCAGGGCCGAGCTGCGTGACATGATGTTTATACAGGACCCCGTTAGCCCTTCTTCGAAGGCATTCACGGGCTTGTATCCATTACTGTACATATCTTGGGATCCTTCTATAGTTTAGAATACTAATTCGTTTATACATTCTAACTTAAGTAAACAAAATTAATTGCGCTTAAAAATTTTAAAGCTTTTTAACAGATATCTTAATGGTAATCTCGATTATTGGATGATTTAAGTGAGCGCTTACTAACTACCGCTAGTTCAAAAGCCTTCAAATATCATTTTTCTCATCTTTATACTTTAGTTTTCTAACAATTTTCCAAACAGTTTTTCAGTTCATCCAAAAACCATGAAATCATGCTTTTAATTTTTTTCAAAACAACTTGTCCTCGAAACTAAAACCTCTTTTATCTTCCAGAGCCACCATCGAGATTTTCAATGTGATCAAGAGAGGCGTTGTGGATACGGTAATAGCCTGTAGTGACTTTCAATCACCTTTCGCCATTTATTAATCAGCATCTCTTTACCATTCGATTCGCAGTGGCTAACCTTGGAGGATGCCAAGCATGGGCTCTTACATGTACGCATGCAGTGGTATAAGTTGACTGCCGATCCCAATGACCTACAAGCGGCGCTGCTGGAGACACAATTGCTGCGCGTAACTTCCATGAGCACAGCACTACTCACAGTCTTCATCGATTCGGCCAAGAATTTAAAGGTTGGTACTATTTTCATATACACAAAAGGAAAATATGACTGCCGCATGCCTTCTACCTAAATATTACCTAACTTTTCTTCATCTTTCTCCGCGCCTTAGCAAGCTCGCACCAGCTCCAAACCTGATCCCTACCTAATCGCCATGGTTGGCAAGCACAAGGAACAGACTGCCATGATAATGCGCGATGATTCGCCTGTTTGGGAGCAGGGCTTCACCTTCCTGGTAGGCAATCCAGAAAATGAGTCACTTCAAATACGCGTTGTCGATCAGAAGACCGGTAACGATATCGGACAGTATACTTACCCGGTGAACTTGCTGCTACCCAAGAAGAATATGGAGTTGATGTCACAACCATTCCAGTTACAGAAATCTGGTCCCGAATCGAAATTGATCATGTCACTCTCACTGCGCATACTCAAGCCTGGCGAGGTGGTAGAAGAGAGCGAACAAAAATCTGGTTCCACAGAGTCTTCGGCAGCGTTAACGCGTTCGAGCTCGGTGAAAACGCCAACGCTGGAGAATGCAAGCAGCAAGGTGTGCAAAAAAACTCATTGCAGTGTTTCCCCAATAAAATAAAAAAAAAACATTCCTAATTATTTGTATCTCTTAATATTTTGTTTTTCCAACTCCACCCACCAGGATCTACAGTCTCCAACTAGCCGTATTTCAGCTGAGTCTCCCATTGTCGAGGAACAGGTCGAGACAATGAAGCCCTCACCCACCGCCACACCCTATTCGGCGGCGCTCGAGTCTGGCGAAGCTGTGCTCACCCATCGCATGCCCGATTTGTCTAGTTCGACTGGCGAGTATGGACTCGGTCGCATGTTGCTTTCTATACGCTACAGCGTGCAGCGTCAAAAACTTACCGTAACTGTGCACAAAATTATGTATCTGCCACTACGCGATCCCTCAAATATACCAGATCCATATGTTAAACTCTATCTACTGCCAGGGCGTAGCAAAGAATCTAAGCGTAAAACGATGGTGATCAAGGACAGTTGCAATCCTGTTTATGAGTCGACATTTGAATATCTCATTTCAACCGCTGAGTTGGCACAAACCGCACTGGAAGTGACTGTGTGCTCACAAAAGGGCTTCATCTATGGCGGTAGTCCCATTATGGGCATGGTAAGTGGGCGGGTAATTGAAAAACAAAAGTAATGTGTGTGTGACGATATTTTCTTTGGTTGTTTGTTTTTGTAGCTAAGAATTGCACTAAATGATCCAGAGATCTCCACTAATGGTCTGAATTCATGGATGGATCTGCAGCCGGAAATAAAGCACGATTAAGCGGAGGACAGGAGGGACATTTGAACTTGGTGGAGTGTGTTTACTAGAGCGAGGCAGTTCTTGAAAGAACTCCGCTGAGCAGCAAAGTATAACTATTTCAAACAAGCACCTAATCAAAATATTGCCGTAGTACTTCATTTTTCCAAAATGGTTAAATGGAATGTTTATTTAAAAGCTAAAGGGTATTTTTAAAGTGAGGTGTTAGCTCTCATTCGTTAGCTTTAAATTTGTATACAGCAAATGAACAGTTATCTTCCGAATGTAAGTTGATTATCGCCTGCGAAATCGAACCTTAAGCCTCGCGCACACGGAGAGCTTATAATTGAGCTGAGAGATGAGCTGGTCGGCGTGCTATTAAGCGCTGTTGGAGTTGTGTAAGTATTCAATTGCGCGGATTATCTTAAACACATGCGCTGTGTTTGTCCGTTCTGCTTGCTGACCAACTCAGCTATAAGCTCTCTCTATGTGTGAGGCCTTACTCAGTAAAATAAGAATGTGCTACCAAAAACTGTTGTCCAACATTATATTCAGTGCCTATCACACAAAAGTTTCATACTATTTCTTTTTAACAAAAAAAAATATTATAAGGCCGTCTCCCTTCAAACAAAATTTTTTCCCCAACAAAATTTTTTTGAATTCAAATTATAATATGTATTAACTTGAAAAAACGGCCGTACGCTTTCAAATACATAAATAATATTTTTATTAAAAAAAAATTTTTTCCAAAAATTTATTTTTTATAACGTAATAATATTTTTTTGTTTTGTCGTAACTAATAAACCAACGTAGTAGTAGTATTATTTACTTTTTTCACTTTCATTGATCTTTTAACAAATTTTAAATTTTAAAGCAGAAAAATTTTTCGAAATAATTTGTCAACTTTTGGCATTTTCTCGTTAATCCAGGCGTTTAACAAACATTCTCTGTTAAATATATAAAATTTAAGACAAAGCTAAACATTTTTTAAAAACATTTGTTTTAACAAACACAAAATTTTAAAGAAAAAAATTCTTTTATTCAAATCATCTCAAAATTATATACATTTTTTAGTCTATCCAGAAATTTTAGGAACACCAAATCTGTCAATAACGCAACATTTTTTTTCAAAAAAAAAAATTTTAAAAAAGTTTTAAAGCAAATAAGGTTTTACTCCAATTCGATTTATTTAAATTGAAATCTTAATTGCTATTTTCAAAACCAAATGATAGAAATATTTAAAAAAAAATTTTTATTTTTCTGTCAATTTAAAGACGTAAGTCAAGCATTTCCTTATAATATATATTTATGTATGTAAATAATAATTCTAATTCGAATTTCGATTCATGTACTTCACTTGAAATTTTAATAGCTATTTTCAAAACCAAACGATAAAAATATCTAAAAAAAAATAAAATTTTGTGTTAATTTAAAGACGTAAGTCACGCATTTCCTAATAATATTTATTTATGTATGTAAATAATAATTCTTTATGTAACTATTTTTTATATTTAATACTAAATAACTCACGTCCAATATCTGTCAATATCGAATTTATAAGAATCTCGATCTGTTTTTTTTCTAATTTCTTTGATCGAAAACACGACTATGTGCCTTTTCCACCACTGTGTGTGTAGAGTGCACAATCTTTTTGGGAAAATAAATACGAAACTGTTAAGCTTTCATAAAAGTGTAATGTTTTAAATGTTTGTTACTAAACTTAAGAACAATATATTTAAAAAACAAACTCAATGTAAATTTGAACCAAAAAGGTTTATTTAAAAAAAAAAAATCTGTAATAATAATGTAATAAAAAAAATAATAAAGTGAATTAATGAACAAAACGGCGATCTGCAAACTCTTTTTTGAATGGCAGATGTTCGGGGTCAATGTTTCCAGTTAATGTGGGTATTAAATTTGTTAGATCGCTTTTAAAGAATTCGCCCACAGCTTATAAAAGCTTCCTGAGTTGCTCAAATAATTCTCCCCCACGCTGCACAGTAGTTCAAAACTGGAAAAAAATCAACGCGAGCTATTAGCCACTTGCAACTTGCACTTTGTTGTACTAAAATTTAATGGTCTATAAAACTGCATTAGTAAAATTTTTTTAAATACTCAAAAAATAATTTTATTTAGGAGATTTTTTTTTAAACATTCCAAATTTTTCTTCTAATTTTTTCTTCGTTTTAGGGGAACCCAAAAATGGTTTTCAACTAGTTTTTTTTACAAAAATTTAACATCAAAAATCTGGCTCAGTGTAAATCGTACAGTAAATTTTTCCATTTTTTGTGAAATTTAAATAAATCATAAAAGCCCAGTTACCCACGGACGTAAAAGCGGAGAACGTGTCAGCTGACTTGATCTATCTTATGGGATCTGAGTATTAACGAAAACTCACCACCGCAGCATATTCGATATGCTTCTACGCACTTCTAAGGTACGCGTCGTACACGTTCATGAGGTAACCGCGTTCTAACACAAATTTTCACTATTTTCACTAACACTCACTGTATGTACATTAGGGTGGTCCAAAGGAAGTAAAGTCGGAATTTTAATGCTTCCACCCCTAGGTTTATTCTATATCGAAAAAACTATACCCATCTTATTTTTTTCGGTCAAAGTTCCCATGTGTTTTATCTGAAAAAAAATAATTGGTATAAATGGTGTAGAATCCTCGAAAACAAACGGCAACCTTTTGCTCACCAGGAGTTGTTTATTTAACCAGTTTTTAATACATATTAACTATTTTTTATGGGTCCTCGAAAACCACGAAAAAATGCCATGTGGGGACCACAAAGTTAATAAAAAAATGGTAAAATAAACAATTAGGTATTATTTCTTGAAGTCTCCTGAAGAGAAACAGAGTTTGCCGATTAATATTGATTTTCATGGATTCTATATAGGGCTGGGCGATTATTCGATTACTCGAGCAAGTTGGTTAATCAATTATTCGGTTAATCAATTACTCGAGTAATCAAGATTTTGATTACTCAAAACGATGATTAATCGAGTTACTTGAAATATGATTACTCAAAAAAAATAATTTTGCTCGTTAAAAGAGTTTGCGTTGGAAAATGCTTATTTTCTTTTTTATATTCTGTATATGAAAAAATTTTTTGTTTTAATTTTTGAAAACAGAAACGTTGTTTTCAAAGTATCAAGGAACTTTAGCTACTTTATACATTTGTAAAGAGTTGAAATGTTGATTACTCATTTTACTCGAAATGTTGATTAATCATAAAGCAAATTACTCAAATATTTTTGTTTTTGGTTAATCAAAAATCTTGATTACTCGAGTAACTGAACTTTTGAGTAATCATAATTTCCAATTAATCGAATAATTGAGTTATTTACTTTATGATTAATTAAAATTTTGAGTAATCAATTAATCGCACAGCCCTAATTCTATAGCATTTTTACGGAAAAAAGTTGTTTCATCATATAAAAAAAAGGGAAACTTTGAGCGCTTTGAGCTACTTCTAAATTTTTATTTTTTCGATAAAGAAAAATCCCAGAAGTTGAGAGCATAGAAATTCCATTTGGACCACCCTAATGTACCTACATACATGCTATCAATGAAGTTTAGTCTAAAAAAAGTACATCTAGGGAGATGAAGATCCTATTGGTGGGTGCTATTGCCCTTGTGATGTAGCCTTTACCACATCACTATTAAATGTTCTAATTCAAAACTATTTGAAATAATAAAAGAACTCTGCCTGATCACAAAACAAAAGGTCAAGAGTTTAAAAGAAAATTAAATTAAATTAAATTATACATATGTATGTATGCACATATCGTAGCTTTGATGCAGAGTGTCATAATCCAAGTTGAGCCAAGTATGCTGAAATGACTGCCACCCCTTCTTCTAAGTTAAGTTACGATATGCACTTACAAACATATTTATGTACAAACGAAATTTGTTCCTACTACACATACTTACATTAGTGCATTCTTTCCATTAACTTGATTCATGTTTATTAACAAAAACTTTTGGAAATCCCTTCATTTTGAATATTTCAGGCTATCAAATAAGCAAGCTAAAAATTTAATTCTTCATTATTTAAAACATATACAGCAACCCTGTACTCTGTACTCTTTAGCAGCACAACTGTTCCCATTGCTATTTATAGCTGTTCCCACCAGCTGCCTGCATCGCTGAAGCGTAGTTGTTATTGTTGTTGCTAAAAGCAAAACAGCTTCATGGAAGTTGTATAGGTTTTTATTCGTCACAAATACTTTCTTGTAATTCGTAGACACTTTTTCGTGTGTTTGTGGTTATAAGTACTAAGTAAGTTTCGCTGTACTTGTTCTTGCTTCGGCAGAACATATACTAAAATTGGAACGATACAGAGAAGATTAGCATGGCCCCTGCGCAAGGATGACACGCAAAATCGTGAAGCGTTCCACATTTTTTTGTGAAAATTTCCTTTACTTGCTTTGGAAAAATTGCCACTTTTAATTCATCACTTATTTACAGCCGGTCTTAGAAGAAATTTAATTTAATTCAAGTAAAACAATAATTTTTACTTAGATTGCTTTCGGGAAACTTGCTATTAGTGAGCCTACTATTGTAAAAGTTTTTTTTAACTTCGCAATTCTTTTTAAAAAAAATCCCAACGTTATTGGTAAAACTTTAGCAAATTTTTTCATAAAGTTTTACATTTGTTAATTAAATTTATTTTTAGTTTTTTATTGAGTTTGTGGTCGTTATTTAGAAACTTTTTGTGAAAAACACCAATAAATATTTTGGTAGAAGTTATAGCTGCTATTTCGGAGATCACCAAATCTCCTCATCAGACTTCATCGAGTTTACTAAGACTTGATTTAGCAGTTCCGGCATAAAATTTATTTGAAATTTACATTTTTTTACATAAAAATTTTCACACAGGAAGAAAATTTCCGCTGTCTTATATGAAAGAGGATAAATAGATCATAACGCAGGTCAACAATTAAATGTTGGTATCAAGATATCGTTAGTGGTTTTTTTTGGGTGCGCATTGGCAACACTAAAAATATTTTTTACTTTTTTGCTGTAAAAAAAAAGAATCTGCAGAAGTGTTGGCTTCTAGATCAAAACGAAAAATTAGGGGTACGAAAGTGATGTTCTATCGTACANTGTAAAATTTTGGAAAAACCCTTTTTTTCTTAGTGTGTGATTTCGTTTATGACTTGGATATGCTCTTAACCATACCACGTATTCTACGTTTGCAGACCAAGACGAAGGCGCTGGACTGTTCCTTTTTTTTTTTTATCCGGATTATGTTATGGGATTTTGTTCAGATGTGTCAGCCTCATTATGGAATGCCAGCAAATTCAAAGGCGTCGTTTTATGGACAGTTCAAGAGACAAAATTTTATAGCTGGCCTAAGCACGAAAAACATAAGAACTGAAATATTTTGCTATAAAACTGTATACTCAAAAAAATTCGAACACTTATGAGAAAAATATATAAATTTGGCTACAAATTTGTTGAATTTTTTAAAGTTGTCTACAAAGTTTTAAACTTGGTGTTTGTTAGAGAATTAACTGTATTTCAATTGCAAATTCCTAAAAATAAATAAATAGCCACAAGTGGCAAACAATATCATTTTGAAATCGGGGTG